GTTTTATATATATTTGGACCATGTGGGATGGAGTTGCCTTGAGATCAAAAAGACATAAAAAAAGGAGAGAACCAGAAAGAGAAACAGACATAAAAAAAGAAAGAGAGAAGGAAGAAAAGTGGAGAGAGAATAGATAAAGATTGGCTAGTGGTGCTGTTTTCTTTTCGTCACTTTTCTGAAGGGGGAAAATGTTAATCTTATGGGGCTAAGAAGGCACCTGGGCTGATATATTCCTGGTGGTCCTTGGCCTCCCTCAAGAGGAGCATGAGCGAGGGGAGCCAGCCACGTGCACCAGAGGGTGGGGACTCGCCTGACCCAAGCCTTGACTTCTAGTACATGCATGCCTGGCTCCAACAACACCCACCAAAGCCTCTGGCCCAACCCCCCACTCCGTCTGACAGCGGCCCTGTGTGGCATTTCCATCCTGGACAGGCTCAGCTCTGGTGGTGACAGCAAAAGCACTCCCCACCCAAGGGTGTGAGTGGGGGAAGAGGGTATACTGACCTTCAGGTCCCTGTGTACAATGGCATAGTGGTGAATGTATGTTACGCTTTCTAATATCTGATGGATACAGTGACTGCAAAACAAAATAGGCATGTGGGGAAGGGGAGAGGCCGGCAGGCAGGGGAGGAGATGAGGAGAAAGAGGGAGATGGAGAAGGGAAGGAAGAGGGGAGCAGAAGGAGAGAGGGAAAGAGAGGATGCCCCCAGGGGGCAGGCAAGGAGGAAGGGCAGTCCCCACACAGGGAGGAAGAAGAAGAAGAAGGAGAACCAAAGAGGAGGAGTGGGCAATAGGAGATGAACGGAAGGAACCAAAACAACACACGAGAGAGGGAGCAAGTCCAGGAAGCCAAAGGATGGATTAAAGGGGAAGGGGGTGAAGGGAAAGTGTGAGAAGACAGAGAGACAGATGGGGAGGGGGCAGGGAGGGAGGGAGGGTGGATATGGGGGAGCGAGAAAAGGAGAGAAACAATGTTTTGAAAGCTCAGAGACCACAGGTGTTATCACAAGGTGTGTGCAGATGGCTGTTAATGGTGAGGGGTAGGGGTGAGATGGCAACCTCTGGTGAGTGGGGGAGGCGGAGGACACAGGCTTAGAGAGACAGTGGGGGAGGAAAGGAACTCAAGACCAAAAGCGAATTTGGGACCCAACAAGCATGGGCAGGTGAGCTCTGGGCCAACAAGGTGAGCCAAGCCAATCAATGAAGAAACATTCATTAAGTGCCTACTATGTGCCAGGCACTGTGCACAGCCCTTGGTTATGGAGCTGAAGGGATTTCTTCCACCTGGAGTCGTGGTCTCAAGTCTCTAAGGACAGAGGCCTTCCTAGCACCAGCCAGAAGTGTCTTGCTTCAAGGTTATGGCACTGGCAACCTTCCTGAGTTGCTCGATGCTGAACCTGGCACACCACATAATGAGGTTCTGCCCAGTACCCAGCACAGAATATGTGCAAATAGGACCTGGATGACTTTTGAGGAGCTCACTCCTTCACAAAAACTCTATGGGAGGGTGGGCAAGATACGTCTTGTTATCCCCATTTTTCAAAGAGTTGTCACAGTGGATAGAACCCTGGGTTTGCAGTCAGGAAGACATGGCTTCAAAACCCTCCTCAGACACTAACTAGCTTGGTAATCCTGGGCAAGTCACTTAAACCTCTATTTGCCTCAGTTTCCTCATCTGTAAAATAGAGATCATCATGATCATCATCATCATATCTCCCAAAGTTGTTGCAAGGCTCAAATGAGATAATAATTGTAAAGTGCTTGGCAAAGTGCCTGGCACATATTAAGCACTATATATATGCTAGCTGCTGCTGCTGCTGCTGCTGCTGCTGCTACTATTACCACAGAGAGACTGAGGACCTGGTTGGGCACCCCACAGAGAAAACTGAAAACACTAAAGATCTGGCATGAAAGATAGTGCTGGAGCCTTCCTAGTCAAATTATTTACGTACATTCTTATCTGTTTACCTGTTATATCCCACTGCACATAGTAAGTGCTTGTTGACTGAATGAATGACTACCACCACCATGCCCAATCCTTGAGGGAAAGGATTATTTTTCATTTCATCTTTGAATCTTCATGTGCCTAGTACATGCCACCTAGCTACCTGCCTAAGGATGATTAGAGCATTTATTCACTGCCCAGAATTAAATATAACCTGGGTCCCTGGCTAGTGCCTCACATTCCAGACCTACAGACTTCCCTAACCAACCAGCTTAGGGCATCCCCAGAGATCAGGGATGACTTCTAAGTCACGTCCTTCAGGCCTGCTCAGCCATGTTTTCTAAGCCTAGCTTCTCCTCTAGTTCCTACAACTTAACATCGTGAACAGAGAGGATTGGTGTTTATGCCAAATGGAAGGGCAATGGGGCCATTTCTGTAGAGGCAAACACCGGTAAGCTCAGCTCCCTTTTGAGCACCTCCTGATTCCTGCCCCCCCCCAATAAAGAAGGGGTTGGAGTTAGCAAAGTTTCCCTTTATTGCTTTGCTCATTAAAAAGAAAGAAATTCCTCTCTTCCTCCTTTGGGAAAGGGTCAGTCTCTGCCCAGGGGCCTCCATACTGTCAAATTAAAATGACCCTCCATGGGAAAACATCAGCGTCTACTATCTCCATGGGCCTGAGGGCAAGCACTGTTAACTTCTGTCTGCATCCGTGGCACCTTTGTTTTATGGTGCAGCAGGATGATCAGGCTTGGATGGATTATGATTGGCATTATCACAAGAATTTCCAAATCTGTGGGAAAACAGACCTCTCATACTATGTGACTATACCCAGCGCTTGGCCCTTTCTTCTTTTTCTTTTCTTTTCTTTCTCCTTTTTGATTCCAGTTCTATGATCTCACCAGAAACTTAAAGTGAAGAAATTCTCTGTATCAAAGGCAGTTAGCAACTACAGAGTGCTATATAGTCTTAAAAAGTTACCTAGGACACTGAGTGGTTAAGTAACTTTCCCAAGGTCATGTAGCCAGTAGACATAAGAGGCATAACTTGAACCCAGGCCCTCCTGACGCTGGGGTTAGCCTTCTATCTATTTCACCATGCTGCCTGTTATGTGGTGCATAATAAGCATTTAATGATAAATTGTTGAATTGAGTTGAATTTAATGATCACAACATCTGGGAGAAGGATGCTTGGTAATGATGGAAGGGTCCTAGGATCAGAAATTCAGAGCTGGAAGGGACCCCAGAAGGCATCCAGTACAACCCCCTAATTTTACAAGGAAGTTAACTAAGGTTCAGAGTATTGGGAGAAAGAGAAAAGAAGGGTCAGCTACCCCCCAACCCCACCACCCACCTCACTCCTGCAGGCTGAAACTATGGTATCCACATCTCTCCCATGTTGCCTCTTCCTAAAATGGCATTGGGCTGGGGACATTAAGTATTAAGAAACAGTCATTTATTAGCACTGTGACTGGAGAATCCTATTCTTGCCCAGGGTTTCCCAACCCAAAGACCTGGTTCTTGCAGTGAACAAGGGAGAGAACTACGGCTTTCTCTGTTTACCTGGATGTGTATCCCATATAGTATTGTTGGAGAGAATGCTCTCTGCCCCAGGGTAGGAGTGAGAGCAGGGGATGAAGGCAGAGTCCTGGAGGTGCCCTTGGGGATGAGGCTTGTCATTCTGCCCTAAGGTTCACTGCCCACACTGTACTCTTGCCATCATCTGCACTTTATTCCATCTACAAATCCAAGAGCAGCTTGTTCTGGCACCAGGGACTCTTTATTAAGAAGATCAATCTTGGAGCCCTAGTCTCGAAATGGCTTTAGCCTGCAAACATACTTGGGAATATTGGAGTTATAACTCCTGGGCATCAGCCCAATCCTTTCTGCTGCTATCCCACTGAAGCTGCAAGGTGGATATTTACCCCCAAGAAACCTCCCTTAGGAAATACCATACCCAGCCACTACAACTTCTCCAAGATTCATAGACTTAGAGAATTTACGACCTAAAGGGGGCCTCAGAAGTCATCTGATTCATCCCCTTCATTTTACAAAAGGGGAAACTGAAGCCCAGAGAGGAGAAATGACTTGCTAAAAGTTAAATAGCTAATAAAGTACCTAGGTAGCACAGTGGCTACAGCCTCCAAGCCTGGAGTCAGGAAGACCTGAGTACAAACCTGGCCTTAGGCACTTACTAGCTGTGTGACTCTAGGCAAGTCATTTAAACCCTGTTTCTTCATCTGTAAAGTGGGGATAATAATAGCAGCTACTTCCTAGGATTGTTGTGAGGTTCAAATGGGATAATAATTGTAAAAGTGCTTAGCACAGTGCCTGGCACACAGTAAGTGCTATATAAATGTTAGCAGAGCCAGGGTTCAAAGCTGGACCCTGTTCCTATCTCTTGGCCAGTCTTTTTCCTTAGTTTCTTTTCCTATGCTTGAGTCAGGCAGATGTTCCTGCTCTTGTTATCATCTACATTTCATCTGCTGTTGAGTAGCTCATGTCCCTCAGGTGCGAGGCTAAGATACCAATTGAAAACAATCCAGTGACAAAAGAAATCAAACAGGGCCTTGGACCTTCTTGGTACCCAAGGCCAGGTGAAGACCCCTCCCAATCCTGGATCCAACAGGTCAGCCTCAGTGGGATGAGTTAGAAGTTCTGCTCCTGAAAGCCCTGGTCTCCACTCTCATCAGCACACAAACACTGAGCAGGAGATTCCTTGTCCTTTTCTAAGAGTCTCAACCAGGGCCAGGCATGTGCTTGTATATACTGGGGGTGGGTGGGGTTGCCTATAAATGCCAGGTGGGTTTCCAGAATCACCGCTAGGGACAGGGGGGCCTTGGCTCTGAGCCTAGCAGGAGCAGCCATGCTGGTAGCTTTGGCTGTGAATCAAGGCTTCCCGTGACCCAGCCCCTCTGCCCAGATTATGAATGGGTTAATGTTGCACAGGTATAGCCAGTATGGGGTTGAGGAAACAGAAAGAAAGGTGGGGAGGAGAGTGGGGAGGGAGGAAGGGTGGGCAGGAGGAAGAATGGGAAGGTCAGGGGCTGCAGACTCACCTGGCGTCGGCTTCACTGTAGTACTCTCTTGCCACGATGTCTTCAAAAAGCTCTCCACCAGTGACCCTGGAAGAGAAGGCAAAACAGTTGGAAGAAACATTAATTAGGCTCACAGGGACCAAAGGCTGGATTTGCTGTGCTTCAGGAAGAACAGGAGCAATGAGCAGAGCTAATGAAAGGCTGGGACCAGACGCATTTGAAGGTCCATCCAACCCTAATCAATCATCCAGTCCATCCACATAAAGGATCAACGGAGTGCCTACTCAGTGCCAGTCACTCTGCTAGGATGCAAACACAGAAATGCAACAGGCTCTGCCTTCTAGGAGCTTGCATTCTACCAAGAGAGACACTATGCATACATACAGAAAAACAAAACAGAAACAAAATAGAAATGAGGTCATTTGGGACAAGAGAGAAACCACAGAATCAGAAAAGTCATCTTGTAGGTCTACGTGGCCAAAATCTAGAATCCTGATTTATGAAGAGCGGGATTTCTGTTGATTAAAAGGAAAAACTTCCAAACAATTAGAACTGTTCAAAAGTAGACCGGCTACCTTGCCAGGGTACCAAGTTCCCTGGCATTAGAGGCATTTGAGTGGATGTGGGAGGACCTCTTGTCTTGGATGTTGTAAAGGGAAGTATGGAATGGTGGATCAAAGCATTGAACATAGAATCAGGAAGAGTTGAGCTCAAATCCCACCTCAGACACTTAGTACCTGTATGACCCTAGGCAAGTCACTTAATCCCTATGGGCCTCAACCTACTAAACTATAATAATGTGAGAAAAACAATGGGAACTCCCACCTCCCAGAGTTGCTGTGAGGCTCAAATGAGATGCTGTATCTAAAAGTATGTATTGTGAATCTCCAAGCCTATATTAGTGTGATCTATAATTAGCAGGTAAGGCTCAGAAGAGATAAAATACGATATTTACACAGTTTGCAAACTGCCTTTTCTTATTTGAGCCACATAACTACCTTGTGAGGGAGGCCCTCCAGGTATCATGGTTTCATTCTGCTAATGAAAGAACCAGGACTCAAAAAAGTGGGTGACTTTTCCATGGTCTCACAGCTAGTAAGTATAAAAGGCAGGATTTTACTCCAGCTATCCCTGACTACAAGCCTGGTGCCCCTTCTCATACCCTAGGGTCTCTGGTCTTTCCAACTTGGTGATTCTCTGATTCTCTAGGGCTAGGCCAATCATAGAGTCAGGACCCCTGAAGAAGAGTCCTGATAATTCCCCCTGAGGCTGAGAAGCTGCTACAGGATCAAAAAGCCAGAATCCAAGAGTATGGCTTGGACTGCTCAGGTCTTCATGACTTCCAGATCCAGAGCCATAAGGGAGAAAGGAGAAGATACCCACTGCATAGCCTGCAGCTAAAGTGTGTGGCCAGAAGGCACAGAGCCAGAGACCTCTGCCCATCCCTTCCCATCACACTTCAGTTATGCCCTTTTAGGGGGACAGGTAGCACCCCCTGAAGCAGAAATGGGTAAAAATCCTGAATGTCAACAACAAGTGAGTATAGGCCTATTCACAGCAGCCTGTCCATATGCTTCTCTCCCCTTGGGCTCCAGGGCCACATCTGGCTCTCTTTCTTGTGCTTCCGAAGGGTCTACATCGTTGCCCGCACTGATGGCCAGTTCAGCAGTGATCATTTCAAAAGGCATATCAGTCCAGGGGAGGAAACAGCTGTCTGGAGGGACTGCTGGGAAGCAGATGAAAGGAGAGCCCCAAACAGGATCCCCTAAATGACAGCAGTACTCTACCCAGTAAATCCCAGAATCACCAGGTTGAAAGAATGCCACCTAATCTAACCACTACTGATATACAACTCTCCCTAGTGCCCCAGTGATAGGACACTCAGCACCTGTACCACCAAGTCCATTCCATTTTCAGTCCACTCTAACTCATAGGATCTCCTCTTATCAGAGCTGTTCAAGCAGAGACTGGTATGTTTAGCAGGGATCCTTGTTTGTGTGGTTTGTTCTTTCTTGAACAGGCCATGACATCAGGAAGATGATGACAATGACTTGCAATTGACTTTGATTCAAGTGAGGGAGGGCTGTGTCCTCCAGAGTCATCTGGGTCCAGTAGCCAGATATAGATCAGGATGACTGGAAATGGCCCAGGATGTAGTGGGAGACCTTGGCCCTGTTAAGCTAAGGTCTTTTCAGGTTTTCACTCTGAGTGAGGCAACACCCATTCAGTGAATAGGCCTCTTTTAAGGCATGAGTCAAGGGATGACCCCTTCAATTAAAAAAAAAAAAATCAAATGGGAGGGGAAGACCCTCAGGGTTGCTGGCCAAAAGAATTACTATTTACATTCACTCTGAGCCTGGAGGGCCCAAAAAATAACCATTAAGTGGTGCTTAGGCAGGAACCTATTGTTGTCCAATCCATAAAATCCAGAGTGAAATGGGTTTCAGGCTTGGTCTTTGAGAAAGAAATCTAGCCAGTAAACCCCAAACTAACTAGTAGCTTTCAGCCATCAAAATTTACTTTCCTTTGAGCAGAACACCCTCAGGTAAGGGGAGGGGAGGGGAGAGGAGGGGGGAGGAGAAGAAAAGAGAGGGGAGGAGCTGAGATGCCCAACTGGAACTGGCCAGCTGGGTCATATCCTTGTTTAGTCAAGTAAGGGTGGGTAGTTGGCCTGACAAGCCTTCCAAATCCAAAATCCTGCAATTCCGTGACCCTAGGATTATATTCATTATAGTAAGCCCAAGTCTTCTTCCCAACAGTTTCTCCTCATTGCTTCTGGCTTTCTTAGGTGAAGAGGGATGCAGAGTGGAATGGGAAGTCAGAAAACAGGTCAGGACTGGCACAAAGAGTGTTATTCCCCAGCTCATTAGGAGCACATTTTACTGCATCAGGAAGTCCTCAAAGGCTAGCAGCCCAATATAACCTACCTGTACCCTCCTATTCAGTATCTGGTTACTCTAGATTAGGGAGTGAGGGCAGAGTTCTTGGAGTCCCATATGGAATACCTTTGTGGCAAAGGGAGGGGGTACTGGTGATAAGGTCTTGTGGCATAAAAGCTCCACATGGCAGAGTAGGATTTTTTTCCCCATCACCCACAACTAAAAGGGTTCCTTTAGTAGGATAAACCCTGGGATACTAAGGGAAGGTGTGCTCAAGCTTTGTGCTCCTATGCCCCATGACCTCTGGATATCATATCTTTACATGTGAGACTCTGATCTCACACACAGTCTCATGCTCTAAAATGGATCGAACTGTATTTTTGCATACTCATTTTTTCAGCAAACTGACTTTGCCTTGCTCATTTCCCCTCTCTCTTTCCTTCTCTATCCTTCCCCTACTATTTTCTCTGATGAGCACATTTTCCAAAATGAGACAGGATGGCTCACCAGGGAAGGCTTGCTCAGAAACAGCCCCCCTCCCCACCTATAGAGACCCATTCCACCTGGTCCCTGAGCTCCCTCAGGCTGTTTGCTGAGGGGAAGTCAGGAGCCTTGCCAGTCCAGCCTTGGGAAGAGACCTAATTCCAGATGGCAGATTCAGGACATTCACACAGTAGCTCAACCCTCCCCCAACCCCTGCCCCTATAACTCAGCCCTCCTTACAAGTAGAATCTCAGGTTAGAGATGGAAATACCTGAGAAGGAATGAGAATTGTTGAGAGACCTTACTGTGTTTCAGTATTGAATGCCTGGACCTCGAGCTATGGATTCTGTTGATGCTATGACAGCTCTAGGGATGGTACAGGAGGGACGGCAGGGAGATAGATGCCAGCCTCCTGAGGGGCAGCATTGGGACACTGCCAAATGCCTTGCGGCCTCCGCTGACTCCTGAGCTGCCCTGGAGGAAGCCAGGCTTCTAGCAGCAGTACACGAAGAAAGACTTCGCGAGCCCCTCTCCACGAGGCGTCCAGTGAGGTCTGGGGAAGAGGAGAACGCTGAGGAGAAGGAATGATGTCTGTACTCCAGAGGTGCGCCCAGTGTCCTGTTTGGACAATGCCCAAGGGAGCTAGAAGAAATCTCTCTGCAGACCAGAACCAGACAAGTCTATCTCTTTGCAGCTTCTACCCACTGGTTCCAAGGTGGAAGGTACAAAAAGGCAAATTTAGGCTTACATCAGGAAAAAAATTCCTAACAATCTGAGCTGTCATACATGGCATGGACTACTTTGGGAAGCTGAAAGGAACCTTAGAGGTCACTTAGTCCAACCCCCCCCCCCATTTTATAGATGAGGACACTGAGACCCAGAGAAGGAAAAGTGATTTTCCCAAGGTCACACAGCAGAGAGCCAGGATTTGAACCCAGCTCCGCTGACTACAAATTTGGTGCTTTTTCCACAGCACTACATTTTTTTCTGGCTGGAAGCCTACTTGGAAATAGTAGAGTTACCCTCTCTGGACATGGGGAAGGGGGCAATCCTTTCTGCTTCCCTTAGTGTCTCCAACTCTCCCCCACCCCACCCCACTACTGAGCATCCTTAAGCTGAAGATGTATCTTATCAGCTATGCTGTAACTTTTCAAGGTAAGGCTGAGATCCCCCCAACTCCAAAATTCTGCTTCTGTGATTTCACTGGGGAGAGGAGGAATAGCTCACTGGAATACACCCTTATCTAGCCCTTTGACCTGCCCATCTCCCCACTTAGATATAAGTGAAGGATTTAGGGATACATTAAAAATCAAAGTCCTGTCCTTGGGTGAGGAGGGACATGATGGGACACTGACACCACCACCACCACCACCACCACCACCACCCATCAGCCCTTGCTGCAAGCTTCTCTAACTGACACGGGGGTTCTGAGAGTTCCTGCTATTCTTTATGGATCCCAGTGCCCTAGTGATGAGGGCCACGGCCTCCATCTTCCAACCTCTTCCCATCCGCATGGTTTATCTCTTGACCTGACAGAGCCCTGCTATTCTGATGTGTCCTTGGTGCTGGTGTGAAATATTTTAGGCCTAGCCCAGACTCTAAAAACCCCACCGGAGCAGGTTGATTCTGACTTTCCCTGGACAATTGAAGTCATTAGAGGGGTGTCATAACCAAACCAGACCCCATTCTTCTGCCCCCCTGAATAATATAAACCCCTGAGAAGGCTCTATTTCAGACTCAAGCCTCTTCGAAATAGAGCTAACCTACTTTAGATGTGAGGATGGAAGGGCCACCGTTGTTTGTTTGTTTGTTTTTTTAACTGTCATTGGCCCTTCACATCCCCTGCCACTGACCCCCCCCATTCCTGCCTCCATACCTAACAACTTCCTCATCATCACTGAGTTCCTCACCCTATCCTTCAATTTCACAATCTCCTAGAAATATGCTGAAATGTCTGGGATGTATCCCTTTAAGAGTTTCTTTGGGGTCCAATGGAACTGGGACAATAAGATCATTTGGGGTCATGATTTCAGTGATGTCAGAGCACTAAGGAGCCAGCTCCCCTTGCATTATGTTTTGCATGCCCATCCTATTAGGCCCCCTCCTTTCCTCCTCCCCCCTCCATCCAGGCCTGTCAGAGGCTCCCTCCCACCCACAGCCCCCTCACTGTGCTCTGCTCTGTCATCTCAGAGAACAAGCCCTTCTGCAGCAACAGTCCCCGTTCCTGCTCGCCCCCGCCCACCAGCATCCCCCATCTTCTCTGCACCAAAAATATCTGCAGCCATTTGTTTGCAAACCCAAACTCCCAGGACATTTCTCCCTCCTCAACTTTTAGGCCACCTCCCTCCTTTGAGGAACTGTGCACCAGATACAGCATCTCTACAAGAACTGGGAGGAAAACAAGCGAGCATCAGACCCTGGCCAGAGAATCCAGCTGCTACAGGGGAGTTGGGGACCCAAAGAGACAAAGCAGCCACAGGTCTGGGCACCATCCGGATGTTCCTTCGTCTGATTCCAGAACCACCTTTAGAAGGGTGACTCAGCAATCATACCTTGAACCCCTTAATAACCAGGCTCTCAGGCAGCAATGAAGACAAACATCGGACCTAGGTTTAAATCCTTGCTCTTCCACTTACTCCCTTTTTGTGATCTTATTCTCACCAGGCCTCAGTTTCCTTATCTGTAACATGATGGGTTTCAACTAGATGATTTCTAAGGTCCCTTATCCCCTTCCTGATGCCTCCAAATAACCAGGGTCTTAGGAGTGGCATAGATGTCTGTCTGTCTGTCTGTCTGTCTGTCTGTCTCTCTCTCTCTCTCTCTCTCTCTCTCTCTCTCTCTCTCTCTCTCTCTCACAGACACAGACACACACAGACATACACACACACTACCTCTTAGGTAATATCTAGTCCAAAAAAAGGGTACATTAAGATTGAGATAAGGTCGATTCCGACAGCAATTTCTGTTTCTTTTGTCCCGAGAAGCCCAAAGATGCAAGGCTGGGTCCACGTAGCCGTGGCCCACATTAATGTGAACTCCTAATACCTACAACTTCTCATTGCCTTGGGCAACAAGCATTTTTAGAAATAAAGAGCTAAAGTTAGGCTCTCTAGCAGCTTTTTTTCGACTCACAACCAGACGAATGTGTGGGGGTGGGGAAGAAAGAGGAGTCCAGTGAAACTATAGCAATGGGATGCAGGGAGCCAGCCACTGCCTCCTGGACCACTGGCCTGGGGGTTCCCTTCCCTCTCTGCGAATGGAGGTAGGGCCGTGCAGGGACACGCCAAGGTCTATATGGCTCCCACTCCAGGGTCTCAGTGCGGCTCTGACTCACATGGAACAGCTAAATATAGCCTGCTGCTTAACAGGCGCTGTCAGGGAGCAGGGGGAGATAAGATCACCCAGCTTCTATATCTGGCAGGAAGTGAGAGGCAGCTGAGTGCCTCCTCACCAGCCCCCAGATGCTCATTCAGGCTGGGGCAAACAAGTTGTTCTCTGTGGCGGAGCCCCCATAAGTACACCTGCACACACAAACGTCCCCCTGGAAGGCACAGGACCCCCACAGGCATAAGCCAGGATCAAGAAAGTCAGCCTGGGGTCATGGGAGAGGTGCTAGATTGGGAGTCAAGGGTTTCGATCCTAGGTTTCCTACTTCCTAGCTGTGTGGCAGTGGGCAAGTGACCTAACTTCTCTGGGTCTTACTTTTCTCATCTGTAAGATGAAGAAGTTGGACTACACGGCCTCAGATTGCCCTTTCAGCTCTAAGTGTATGATCAAAGGGAAAAGCAGAAATTCCCTCAGGAGGGCATCACTAGACCTTTGTTTCTGGCTACTCTTCTCACTCATTTCTTGGCCAGGAATTAGTTGGGCCCTAAAGAATAAGATTCTGCTGATCTTTTCCTCTGAGGAGCAGGGTATCCAGAGCCCAGCTCAGGTTAAGGCCAGAGTTTATCGGCACTCCATATTCCACACCACAAAAGAGAAGTCAAAAGAACAGATTTTTAAAGAGTTTTCTCTTTCAAAGTCCTGAATGGTTGTTTTTTTTGTTTTGTTTTGTTTTGTTTTTTGGTAACCTTAATGCAATTGGGAAAGTAAGAAGGAAGATGGTTTGGAGGCTGGGGGAAGTGGTCAGGGTTAGGATCAGGGCCGGTCCTCAGGGGCAGGGAAAGAGGAAGGGAAGGAGACAGAGAGCAAGAGAAGGAGAAAGGAAGAGATGGGCAGCAAGAGAGAAACAGGAGGATGAGCATTGGGGGTGGGGAGAAGGTAGGAAGATGGTGAATGAAGAGGCCAGGGGTGCCTTCCTGCGCACTGGGCAGGAAAACCCAACCAAAAATATAGGAAAGGTATAAAACAAGCCCCCGGAAGAAGAAATCACCATCACATCCTATATTTGCCTGATAGAGCCCTGACTTGCCTCTTCTGTGGAAGCTTATTATGCAGCAAGGGAAGGAGCTGAAATGAGGGAGGAGTAACTGCATGTGAGCTGCAGGATCACCAGAGAGTTCAGATCTAGCACCCTTAGGACCACCCCCTCCAACCCTTCCCACCCCCAGCTCCAAACAGATTTCTCCCATACTTACAGATCAAACACAAGGTAGTGGAAGCCTTCCTCCGAGATGCTGTCATGGAGACGAACTGTGAAAACAAAAGATACAGGGCACATGAGGGCAAGCAATCCATCACCCAAGACACTCAGTGCTGGAGCCGGCTGGCCTGCCAAGGAGATGCACCGGAGGAATCCAGGTGCAGCCACTGACAGAGAAGACCTGGATCCCAAAGCAGGTGAGAGCCAAGGGCAGCAGAGCCTTCTGAAGAACAGCCACTGTGTGATGCAATGATAAGACAGCCAAATAACCCGATTCAGGGTCAGGGGTCTTCGACTCAGCTCCTCCTTCTGCTACTTATTAGTCATTCAAAAAAGACAAGGCAGTTAGCCTTTCTGGGACTCAGTTTCCTCATCTGTAAAGTGAGGGGGTTGGACCAATTCCAGAACAGATTCAGAGCTGGGTCTTAGAGGTCATGAAGTATAACTCCTTCATTTTGCAAATGAGGAAACTGAGTCCAAGAAAGGTCTGGCAATTTGTCCAAGGTCACATAGCTAATAAGTTACAGAGTCATGATTCAAACTCAGCTCCCGTGACTCCAAATCTTTCCGTTGTACCAGGCTACCACTATTACATATGGCCTCTGGAGTCCTTTCCAGCTCTAAAACTATGAATATGGGAGATCTGCTTTTCCTTATAAGATCTCTAGATTCTTGTGAGCGGGATCATTGGGAGACACAAAGACGGTAAAAGAGTGAGGGTCAGTGGAGGAGCCCAGTCCAGAAAAAGGCTACGCCTCAGTCCCTCTATACAACCACAAATAAACTCCACCAATGGCCAACTTATGACATGGAAGTCTACCTATTAGAAGGTGTCATATTTTCAGGTACTTTTCATAAAGAACATTGAATTCTCACTCGAAGAGAATGGATTCCCAGTAGTCACAGGCAAATGTCCCTGAATTTTTATCCACACTCCCATAGCCACCTTCCTTTCACCCACCATTCAATTCAACAGAAGCAACATTTATTATGCACATACTTTGTGAGAGGCACAAGGGGGCAGAGAGGGGTAGGGTAAGGTTAGAACAATTTGTACACAGACAAGGAAATACAAAATATATATGTCATACTCCCATGGGTGGGCTCAGGCAATTCCCTGAAAGACAATCCTGTTATACAATGCATGTGTACAGAGACGTGGCTGCTGATGGTGGAGGGACCTCTGAGCCTGAACCTAAAATACAGGTGACATGAGAGAGATGTGAATCCTGTTTGGTTCTGAAGACTTCAGAGGAGAAAGAGGTCCAGCTGAGAAAGACAGAGCGAAGAGGCAAGGCATGGACTTTGAATGGCAAATGGAAGAGTCCTTCTCAGAGCTATGGGCATGTGAGGTTTTGGGGTGAGATTTTTCTCTCCTTGGGTGAGTTCAGATTTCATTTTGTTGCTGAGTGGAAGAACTACTGACTCTTATGTGCTCTATCATCTAATCTAATTTGTATAATTGTTTATGACTTGCTTCAACACACAAGTTCGCTCGATATACACGATTGTCTTTTTCATAAGGGTTCGTCGCAAGGAGCTAAGCTGTCCAAGAGTACGCTCACTGTTACCCTTCCCTTTGGGGTAACCAGGGAAAGTGGTTTTTATCTTGAACCCCATGAACAGCGTCATACTTCTAGACTAAAATATTCATCATGTAGTGGATAGATATCTTTCTAGCCCAATAATTCTCTTGGAAATAGCAGAGTGAAGGTCTGAGGAGTCAGCCACAGGCCTCCTTTTGATCCCCACAAAGGTAGAAAAGCGTGATCTCCCCAGAGACAAGGCGGGCCAGATCCCAGATCATGTTGAACACAGGCTACCTTAAGTGTCAGACCTTATGTGTTAAATATACAAAGTAAACGCAAAATAATTTTTGGTGGGGAAAGGGCAGAGAGTCCTGATAATTAGGAATCAGGAAGGACTCATGTTAAGAGACGGCTCTTGGAGCTAAGCGTTGATGGGAATACTTTTCCTCACCCTCCCACCTTTTGGTTTTCCTCCCTTCTCTCTTCAGTTACCGCCATTTGCTTTCCTTCTGAGCAGCACTGTATCATGGAAAGAACACTGGACAAATTGGACACCTGGATTCTAACACTGGTCCTGTCACTAATCAGCTGTGTGACCTTAGATCAGCTCTTTCAGCCCCACTAGGCATCAGTTTCCTCATCTATAAAATAAGGTGGCTGGTTAAGATGACCTCTAAGACTTCTTCCAGCTCTAATGCTTATGGATGACAGTTGCCCTTTCAACACTATTCCCTATCTGCTCCACTATCCCAGAGGGCCAAAGTTGACCACCTATGGATATAAAGGAATACTTGGGTTCCCTTAGGGGACTCCCAACAAGCTGGACATGGCAGAAGATTGTAGGATCACACCCAGAGCTGGAAGGGGCCTCACAGGCCATCTAGCCCAACCCCATATTTTACAGATAAGGAAGCTGAGGCCCAGGAAGGGCAAGTGACCGGCCCATGGTTACAGGGATAGTGAACCTCAGAGGAGGGATCTGAGACAGTGAATACCAAGGTCACAAGGCTCACTATGGCATTCAGCTGAGTCACCCGGAACTGGGAGTATCTGGTGAGCTGGAGACTTTTTTGCCCAGCCACCATCCATGTGGGATATAGTGGGGGGTAGCTAGAGAATAGAGGAAAATCATAAGCACAGCCCTGAGGTGAGCCAGCCCCCTCACTCTTCCTCTTTTGATGAGAAATGTTTGGGGTTTAGTCAAGCAGATGTTTGTCTTTTGTCCTTGTAACCAAATATACCTGGCTATTCTGGGAATGTGCTGTAAGCAGCGCCCAAGTCCATCTCTTCCCTCCCCTTTGGAAGTGGCACCCCTGTTTAGCTGGCTCATCGCTTCCCAAAGGGTGAGAGCTAAGAGCTGAGGGCTATCTTGAACCGCTTGCACTCCTGAAGTCAGAAGAAAGCAGATTCTGGCTCAGCGTAAGGGGTGGGGGGAACCTTTCTAATAACTAGAGCTGTCCAGTAATGGACTGGGCAGCCTCGAGAGGCAGCAAGCACACCGTCCCTGGAGATAACAGAGCAGAGGCTGGATATCCACCTGTCCAGGTTGCTACAGTAGGGAATTCTGCCATGGGTGGGAAGGTTAGAACAAATGACCTTTTTGATCCTTTCCAACTCAAAGATCCCTCAATTCCCTGCCAGCTCCTGGTTTTCCCCCAATGCCAAATGAGGGGTTTAGAAAGAGGTCACTTCAAATGCAGGCATGAAGAGAAGGAAAAAAAATGGTCCTGAGAGGTAGAGAAGAAAGCATGAGTTAATCATCCCCATGTTCTTCCAAGTGACCACTATCTAGCTCCCTGCCTTTTTTTTTTTCTTACAATAATTTATTTCTCAGTGTCCTGGACCCAGATATTGCTATGAAGAGGAAAGTCCCCAGGTGATCTACTTAGCTTCATCTGTGCTAAGGAGACGGTACACAATCTGGAGTTAGCTGCAGTGTGGAGTCTAGGAAGGAAGGCTCCTGATCCCAAGCTCATAATCCTGAGACTGATAGAGAAGGAAAAGTGTCACAGATTTTCTGTAGCTTCATAGGGTCCACCAAGAAAAGTTCCAAATCCTTTGCCTGGCATTCAAGGCTATCCACAGTCTAGCTGTACATTGTTAGTATCATCTTTGTAAATGCTTTGATTTTGAGCTAATTCTTTCTACTGTCTAACTGTTCATGGGGAAGCCCACTATTGAGAGCTTGTGAGCTGGTATCTAGATACATGTTAGAGTTTGTATCTAGCGTGCTCCTACATGGCCCTCATGGTTCTAACAGGATGTTAAAAAGGGGGTCCTCATGACCGAAAAGTTGGGGAACCACAAATGGAATGGAAATGAGCACTGGACTTGGAGTCACAGGAACTGAGTTCAAATCCAGCTCCAATACTCTCTAGCTATGTGACCATGGGCAGTTTCTGCTCTCTGAGCCTCAGTTTCCTTATCTGTGAAATGGGGATAATAATAGCTACTATTCACATTGTTGGTTCAAGCAGAATGCTTTGTGAACTTCAAAGTATTAAATAAATGCAGCATTATTAATCTATGGTATCAAGAGAGCCAGGCCCAAAGGCAGCACCCTACCTGGGACAAATGAATACAACTACAGCCTTCTGTCCATTACAATTTCTCTAATTAATCAAGCAACGTGCATTTATTGAGTGCCTACTATGTGCCTAGCACTGTGTTAAGTACCGAGGATACAAAGACAAAAGAAAAACAGTCCCTGGCCTCAAGGAGTTTACATTCTATCAGAGGAGGGTCCCCAGGTGATCTACTTAGCTTCATCTGTGCTAAGGAGCCAGCACACAATCTGGAGTTAGCTGCAGTGTGGAGTCTAGGAAGGAAGGCACTGATCCCAAGCTCTAACAACCCATACATACAGGTATACAATACGATTCAAGGTAACCTGACAATCTGAGGTACAGAGGGAGGCAGTCAGTGGTTCTTGCTTTACACTTAGGGACCTGTGACATGTTGCATCCTCCAGTAGCCTATAATCTCCTTTGGGGAAGGAGCTACTTCAATTTTGCACTTGTATCACAAGAACTCAGAGCAGTGCCTGCCTGGCACACAGTAGGCGCTTAATCAATGCTCACCAATTGCCTGATTAATAATAATAACAGCTCATATTTATAAATATATGGCACTTTAAGGTTTGCAGAGTACCTTAACAGACATTATTTCACCTGAGCCTTCCAATAACCCAGTGAAGTTGGTGATATAGGTATTATCACTCTGGACAATTAGGACCATCCTAAGTAGAAGGAGTTGCCTTGAGGCAGGCTGCATTTCCTCTCAAGGAGAGGTCTTCAGGCAGGGCCTGAAGAGTAGGTAGAGGGGTTTCTGGTTCAGGGATGGGCTGCAGGACAAGGCCTTGGAGGTATCTCTCAACTCCGCAATCAGGGGTTATGTGTGATGCTATTATTCTGTGGTCACTCTTGTTGGTTGGTTGGTTTTTATACCAAACCTGATTCCAAGTCCATCCCATTTAGCCACCATGCCATGAGCTTCACCATGCAAGAGCTCTCCTTTCTAGA